CTCCTTTGAAAGGTTTTTTTTTAATTCCTACTTTCCTGCACTTTTTCTATCACTCTTTTTTGCCTGTCACATTCTGAAAAGCAGTTGAATAAAGAGAAGGATGTTTCTGACTTGATTATTATAATCAGAAAAAGAGTTAATTCCTATAATTGTGATTGGCAGCTTGAAATCAATTTAAGGAATTGAATACTTGTGTGTGCTCTCCTGCGTTCTTTACCACATCCTGCTAATGAAAGGCAATTCAAGTGAGACTGTTTATGATTAAATACCTGAAGCTCCTGCATAATTGTCATGTTTTTCCACTGTTCCTCTTTAAAAATGAAGAGGATCTTTCCAAAGAATCTGCAAAATGAATATTTATATCTCTCTGTGGACCACAGGAGTTCATTTTTCCCCATGTGTAGTACTGCCTTCCAGCTTTTGAATTAAGTTCTACGTCAGTGATAGACTATGGGAAAATAGTTTTGTGAACAAGATCTTGTTGTTGCTATGAGATCTTTTGTTACTGGTAATGTAGTTATTAAAGTAACTGGTGTGTAAGATTTCAAGAGTAGGTAGAATGCATTGGGAAAGATTTAATGAATTTCAATATCTTTTAGCTTGCCACAAAGTTGACTTCTTGGCAAAAAGGCAGGTCTTTTCATTTTGACTAATTAGAATGGCTGCAACCACTACAGAAAAATCATTTATGAAAAAGGGCTGGTCTTCTTTTCAATACAAGTTGATATGACTTGGGTAACTTTGCTAAGTAAAATGGATGTTTCTCTGTAGTTATTTGTGGCTATGTTTTCATAGGTGATAAAATAATTGAGACTGAAAGGAATCTTAGGAAATGTCCTACTCCAGCTTCCAGCTGGTGTGGTTGTGAGCAGAGTGAGGCAGGGTGATGTTTTTCAGCAGCGGTGACAGAGACAGTGCATCACCTCCACTAGTTCAGATTTTTACAAGCATATGGCATGCTGGCTCTTGTTGATCTTGGCAAAAATGCATAGCTAATGGTTGAAAAATAGCAAATTTTGTACTTGAGAATCTGCTCTATCAAACAGTGTTACTATGGCCTTCACTGTAGTTTCCATGGAAATAAATAGAAGGCAACACTTTCAAAGAGGCCTGCGTAATTCCCTCTCATGGATCTCTGCAGATTGAGCAAGCCTTCGCCTACTAGTGGCCACTGTTCTGGAGCAATTGCTCCAAAACAACCACCTCAGAAAAAAAAACCAAACAACCAAACACACACAGAAAAACATTTGAACTGTTCTCTGTTGAACTTCTTTCCCATTGTCTCTCATGCATGGGGAAGCCTAAATCTGCCTACTATATATTCTGTGCTCTTGTGCATGAAAAGTAAAGGGAGATAACTGTGTATCTTTTGATGTGGTTCTGTAAGTACAGCACAGGCTGCTGCTATAACTATTTTAGCTGTTTATGCAGTCAAGAACAGTTCACATTTCACTTTACTGTCTATCCCATCCACCATCTCAGAGCTTCTCCCCAGCCAGCCAGGCCTCAGCCTATCCCACTGCAAAAGCAGGGGCAGGACTCTGTTCCAGTTATTATTCCAGTATATTTCATAATGTTCTTCTCAGCCCATTCTTATAAATTGCCTAGGTCTCAGACTCATGAATTTAGTCTCATCTGCAGATTTGGTGTTCTCTGTTTCCCTGAAGCAACTAATAAATACGTTCAACAGGATAGGAATTGGGATAGCCCTTTGTAATAAGCACTGCATTTGATACTGTCTTTTGGTGGAGCACAACACAATAACTCCTCTCTGGGACTGACTGTCTAACCCTATTTTTATTTACCTAGTGAACAACTCCTCCAGACAAGAGCATCTTACCTTTGTCAGGAAAATACTGTTGGAAACTGCCAGAATCTTTGCTAAGGTTGAAATAACTAACAGACACTTTTCTCTCTTCATTTAAAAATATTGTTATTTTATCCTAGGCAAGAATGAGGTAGGCCAGCCATGAATTCTCCCTTGATTGATCTATGCTAATCCCAGTCAATTTCTCATTTGTGTGTCCAGAAATGAAGGCCTTGATCATTGCTTTTTCCCCAAACTTTGGTAGCTAGGTAAGTAAGTTGCTTAGAAGAGTATACACATCACTTGAATATAAACATATATCTTTGTTGATTAACTCCTGAAACAGAAAAAGCTGTATTCACGTTTACTTCTCCAAATTGCAGTTTGGGAACAAGTAGTCACAGATGGCATACATTTGAAGTGGAAATTAGGATTTGAGCAGATTTTAGGGCATGAAGTGAAAATAGGAAAGGTTTTGCCTAGATATTTGTTAACACAGCAGCTTTCTGGAATGCACTGACTAGATTAGATTTAGGGGGAAAAAAAATGGTTTCCACAGGATTCCAAATCCTTGGCTCCCAAATATGTTACTTTCAGAAATGCAGGCCCAAAAATTTGATGCTTGTTGGATTAAAACCATATGAAACCAAGTTATTTGGGAACAGATTTCATTGTTTCAGGAAGCTAGGAATTCCACAAAATGGAAGCAAAGCATCTTAGTTCTGCACAATTTTTAAAGACCACTGTTACTGCTCTTTTTGTTTGTTTGTTTGTTTTGTATTAAGATGATAGTCATTATATAGTATTCTAATGCTTGAATTCAAAATTCTTAGATTAGAGGCAGGAAGGAAAAAAAGAGAAATTGCTTCAAGCAATTTACAGGTAACCTCTAAAGCTCAAAAGAGTAGGAGTGAGTACAGTAAGGAACAGATGAACAGTTACTGTTAAAGCTGGATTGTTTGTTATAACAGATGGATTTTGAAGAGAGCAGGGACCAAGAGACTTCTGGCATATTTTATTCTGCAGGTGGTTTAGAATTAAGGACTGTTATCTGCCTAATGTAAAGTTTTCCAGGGACATTCATATAAAAAAAAAAAAGAATTTTGTTTTCTGGTTTATACCAGTTGATAGAGGGAGAATCATCTTGGAATCATAGAATATACTGAGTTGGAAGGATCAAGGATTATTAAGTCCAACTCCTGGCTCCATGTGGGACTACCCAAAATTCAAATTGTATGTAGAGAGGACCAGTAGAAAATCTGTATACTGAAACTTAAAACGGAAGTTCATTGAATTCTACGTAAAAATAGTTGTTCTAATTTTGCTTGTAACGGTAAAGAGGAAAAAAAAAATCATTTAAATCCACAAATATGCAAAAGCAGGGAAGATCAATTTTTGTCACAAATGCATTAGTCTGTTGGAAATGTAATTAACAAGGCACTCTGAGAGAAAGATTTGAGATACTTTAGAAAAAATGTTGGAAAATGTATTGATTTTCTTAAAATCAGATGTTAATTCTATTACTGAAGATATTTATGTCCGCCTAGAGCTTTTAAAAATTGATGGAGACCAGTTTAAGGATTTCATTTAGTGACAAATTGTATAAAAGTACATGAATCTATTTCATAGTTGCAAATAAGGAACTTGTCTGAAAGTAAAAGACTCGAGTTCACTCTTTGATGAAAGGGAGATTGAATAGCATGTAAGGCCTAGGTTGAAGTAAATGATTGAAATTACTGAATTTGTTGGGCTAAATACCAAGTATATTTAGGAATTTTCTTTTAATGTAATTTTGTCTCATTGTAGACATTATCTGTGTTTAGGGAAAGATTATGGGTTATATCATGCACACTATTTTTGTAGTATTCTTGTAGAGTACTACTCTAATTATACTACCATGGCCAATCAAAAAGGGTGCTTCTTACCACTTGAAAAAAAGGACTTAGTATCCACAGCAGTGATTCAAGCTGATTCTTTCCACTTGTTTGTTTGTTTGTTTGTTTTTAAATATAATATGTATATATAATAAAATACATATATAGATATTATTGCAGTGAGCATGTGATTATGCATTGTTACCTCCAGCAATTCTACTGTTTGAAATCTCCCTCAAGGAAAAGTACTGTCTTCCTCAAACAGATGTTAGAACCACTGCCAGTTGTTGAAGTTCTTCCCTGGTTGTATGCCTGGTCAATATGGAGGGAAAGAGCTTGTTCTCAGTTTCTCATATCACTGATTTGTTATGACAATTAGGATTCATTTTTCTTTCTCAGTTAGGAATGCTGACGTTTGCTCCAAGGCAGTTGTCAATCCTAAGCTCCATGTGGGAGTCCAGTAGCAGGGTTTTCTGTTAACTCTTTGTGGTTACAGAACATTGTACATTGTACAGAACAAAAAGCTGTAGTCAGCAAAGCATGTAGGCTATGTATGACCTTAAATGCATCACTATTCTGTGTAGTAAGTCCTTTCAGATGGGATTTACCTTCTTTCCTCCTCCTTCCTAGTGTGAGAAAAGATGATTACTTCTTTCATTCAGTTGAACTCCGCCACAGAAATCCTTGTATTTTGAGACTGCAGGTATTCCTATTCCAAGCAAGTTTACAGATATTATTGTACCCTGAGAAGAACACTAAAAGTTTTCTTTAAATTGGTTACTTACAGATGAATAGGTGTTTTCCTGGATTACTTGAGCTTTGGAACTCATTCTAGAAGGGGGAAAACAACTAGCTGTCATTTTTTTCATAAAGAAACTTAAATATAGGGCCAGCAAATCTACTACGTCTAAATTTCTGCATATATTAAATTGAAATATTGATATAAATTATGTTTAGCAATTGATTTTCTTGATAGATCTAGTGGGTTGAACAGAAGGGGCCTTATAGATTACATTATTATATTGGTAAGAGCACTACCAGATGAGCATAGGTAGTTGTGGTCACTAAAGGAATGCAATTAAAACCCATTGTGCAATTACAATCAGAACTATTAGCTCAAATTATTGCTAGTGTATGGGAACTTCTGAGTCACGGCCTGAACCTCTGATTGATCATCTGAAGGTAGCAATGAGTCAGCCAGAGGAGCACAGGTGAAGGCAATTCACCTGTGCTGCCGAAAGGAGTGGAGCCAGGCTCCACCCCTCCTAAACCTATTTAAGAGCTGACTACCAGGGGTGAAGGATCTCTTCTAGGGATCTGCTCTGCTTGAGTTTTGTAAGTGAGCCCAGGATAGGGGTAAGCTTTCTATCTGTTCTCTTTTTGTTATCATTATCTACTTTGCCAAACTCTCTTGTTTGTTTTGTAGTTGCAACCTCTTAATGTTCATTGATTATACAGCTGTATATTGAGATATTCTGTAATGTGAAAAGAAAGAAAACAGTACCTGACTTAGTTGTAACTGGTAGAAACAGTTTTGCTTTTAGGTCAGGAGTTCAAGGAACCTACAACTTACTTTTTATTGTCTTTTTTTTAAATAAAGTTCTAATGAAAACTATGTTTGTGACCTAGCTTGGGAGCGTATGTGCTTTCATGAAAAAGGTAGAATGTTTTTACTTTATATTAATCTTTGCCTTCAAGTAAATCTCACTTAACATCAATTGCAGAAACTTCGTCTAATAGCTTTTGACAGTTCTGATGCACTAGGATGTTTTCTTAGAGGGGTGGAGAGAAGTGGCAGTATATTATGTTTACCTGAGGATATTCATAACAGCTCTCTTAATGGCATTTCTCTGCAATTTCAAAAGCTTGATTTACGTTCTAATAGACAATCAAGTAATACTAGTCATATGTGTAATCAGTGAATATACAGATGTTACAATTAAGAAATATTCAGGAAAGTTAGGCTAAACAGGTTATCATGCTAAAGAATGGATAGAAAGCGTACCCTTATCCCAGGCTCACTAAGAAGACTCCAACAGGAGCAACCCCAAAAAGATCCTTCCCCAGTGGTAGTCATCTCTTAAATGGGATCTAGGAGAGGTGCAGCCAGGCTCCACCCCTTCCGGTAGCACAGGAGAATTATCTTTCCCTATGCTCCCAGGACTGACACATTGCTTGCCTCAGGTGGTCAATCAGAGGTTCAGGTTGTGATTCAGCAGTTCCCATACAGTCATATATACATACAGATGTGCATTTTATATATGTAGTACATAAAGTGATGCTGCTGAACCAAGTGGAAAATTTCTACATGTGTATATAAAAACATACATATACGTTACATGTAAAATAAGTATTAGCATATTTAAACTGAATGAGGGAAAAAGTACTAGCAAACTGATTTGTATGATTCAGATGATTTTAAATAGAATTTTGGTACAAGTTGAGCTGAAACAATTGCATAGAAATTAGAGATAGAGACATACTTTTGCTCACCTGATGATGACAATGTACAAGCACTCATTTGCAAATGCTTGCTTCGTTTGGTTTTTCCGTATAATTATTATTCTCATGAGAAGGCTATTCTGAGTTATTTGCAAACTATGTATTTAGCCTTCTGTTTTTCAGTAGGATATAAATTGAATATAGTTTGTTTAATTCTCATTCAGTTCTCTTCGGCTACTGTGTTACAAGTGGGTTTTCAACCCTTGTTATTGCTTATTACTTCATTCTTTTATATAGTGTTGTAGACTGAATGCAAAAAGCCTTCTAACACTCAGGCACTTTTGTCCTAAATGCATGAATTAGTGACAGCAGTTTTATGGAGTTTTCTTCCTTTTTGTAATATCTAATGACCCCATAAGTTTTTTTGCTAGGGTATAATGGGGAGAAACAGTTCACTTTGGAAATAACTATGAAGTTTGAAGTGGCTGGTGGACTTTATTTTGCTTTCTATTGGCAATGGTGCATTTTGGTTGTCTTTACTCAGATCGAGGCTTTTTTTCCACTTTGTTGATGCAGTTTTTTTCCAATCCATTTCTAATCTTAACTGTGATTATCCTAATGTGTCATTTTTAGTTAGATCTGTAGGCTAAAACAGATCATGTCTGTAACAGTGTTCATGAAATTAATTAAATAAACACTTAAGTTAAACTGTATGCATTTATGGTAGCTGTTTGTGTGGAATGAGACGGGTCAGTACTGGCATGCATGATGGTTCCACGTAGTTTCCCTTTTCAAATTTTCAAAACCTTTGCTTGCTGTGTGCCAGTGAGGTAAGATGAATTAGCAGTAGAAGCCAAATTCTGTTTTCCAGGAGAACTGAAATAAAATTGTTGTTCTCACATATTTAAGTGCATAGGAATTATCCAGCAATACTATGTAGGAGATTGATTGCCCGTTAACTATGCATAATTGGCATCATATCTGAAGACTTCCATTATGTTTTGTAAGAAAATAGACTAATAAAAATCCCAAAGCAGCAAGGTTCTACTTAAATATTTAATAGACAATCATTAAAAGTTATTCAATGGAGTTGCCTCAAATATTTCCTTACAGATTAATGCCGTAGTAGTACAGTCATTTTAGATACATGGCCAAATTAAGTCCTTAGGCAAACAGTTACAGTTCTACCAACTTCCATACTGCTGGATGTGAATCTAGCTGAGGTTTATGATATTTCTTCATTCTGCTGAAAAGGTGACAGGTAATTTGCAGTGTAAAAAATTAATTTCTCCTTAGTTCATAATGAAAACTAGAAGTTGGTTTTGAGCATCCAAAGATTATCCAGTTTGGAATGGTAAGGCAGATGTGCACTGAAATGCGACTATCAATTTCAGCCTCTCTGAATTTTGCTAAATATTAACAGAACATAAAGGGAATGGAGGGGAAGAAAAGCATGGAAATGTTTTATTAAGACCTCTATTGATAAATAAACTATGTATCAGCTTTGTAATATATGAAAGACATAGATTTATCAGAAATCACCACTAGTAAAAAGGAAAAACAGTGAACAAAAAAAAAAGCCCAACAAACAAGACAGTGAAAATATAGATGTTTCTAGACACAGTAGCTTTTTGTATTTCAAAGTTTAAACAACTTGGAAAAATCTGAGTGCAGATGACAAGATTTACGGTAATATATCTCAAAATAATCTGAATATTTAAGCCTGGGCTAGATATGACCTTAGCCGAAACAAGTAGCAGGCTCATCACACAAATGGATGGATGAGATGACTGAATTCTACCAACAAAAAAATCCTACTTATCAGCTGTATCTTCTATCCCTTGAAGTCTATTCTTTTCCAGTCTCGTTTTCCTAATTTTGCTTACTCTTTTTGAGTGTATGGCTGTTAAATATGTGTATATATTTGTAAGTAAAATCTGGCTTAACCAAGACTGCCTGATGGAAAAGAAGCGTTAGATGAAGCATTCAGACAGCTGCAAGAAGCTTCATGTTCATGGGCTCTGGTTGTTATCAGGGACTTAAAGCTGTTGGAGAGACAACACTGTGATGTAGTGAGAGGTTTCTGGAGTATATGAAAACTTTATTACATTGGTAATGGAGAGTTTGATGTTGGGAGATGCTCCACCCAAGCTGATACATGAAAACAGGAAGGACTGACTGGAGATGTGGAGGCTGGGGCAACCTTAGGTTCAGTGACCATGAAATGGTGGAGTTCAGTATCTAGAAGAGTGATAGATAGGGAAATCATGCATAATGAATCTGCAGTGGGTTTCTATAATTAGATGACTGCCTTGATGGGTGGGGATAGAGCTGCGGATGTTGCTTGTCATGACTTAAGCAAGGATTTCAGCACTGTCTCTTGTGACATGAGATGACTGACAAACTCTTGGAGTATGGACTACTTGAACGGACAGTGAGGTGGGACTGGCTTGCAGCCCATAGCAAAATACTTCAGGAGTGGCTACTAGGTCTAATATTGCTTAGCTTTTTAATGAGCTGTTTGATGAGATAGACTGCGTGCTCAAACTTGCAGGTGAAAAACAGATGGTTGTGCAGCCTCCTGTCAAACTTTGGCAGATTAGAGTAATGAGCAGAATCAGTGTCTGAAGTTGAACAAAAGATAATGTGAAGTCCTGTGCTTGTGAAGGCAAAACCTGAGGCCCAAGTACAGACTAGAGGTGGCCAGGCTGGGTAGAAACTTTGAGCATAAAGTGTGGGGTTGTATAAGGAGTTCCTGGGGAACCCCAGATTGACTATGCACCAGTAACATGTGCACTTAAGTTGGGGAAAAAAAAGAAGAAAAAAACAAAAAACCGATGCTTTTATTCCTGGAGATTCTCACATTTCAGCTATTGTTTTTGTCACCTTGACTTGCTGTGAACAAGATGTTGGGCTGAGCGGTCTCCAGAGGTGCCTTCTAGCCTCAGCTATTCCTTGAGGATCCTTAGAAGTCTGCAGGCTGCCAGCTCTGTTTTGGTGATAAACAGATAAATAAAACCTTTCTGATAACCAGAGCTTTATTTTTGTTGTTGTACTTTCCGTGTCAGTTTGGAAAAATCATTTCTCTTTTTTTGGAGGTTTCTAATAAGGACAAATACATTCATCTCTTTTAAGTATTCAGGTGTAGTATTAATAGTCTCCAGAGAAGAACTTTAAATATAATGATACTTTGTGCTGTAGTCAATTTCAAGTTCTCTTTTATTGAATAAAATATCAACATAGATAACAAGTACTTGAAGAAAGAATCTTCTATGAATTATCATTGTATGTAAAACTTGAACACCAGTACAATTGCTGTGGTACCTTATCGTCTTCTAGTTTTTCAAAATAATGCGATCTGTCTTAATGTGCTGCAGTGGTACTTAGTGTCATGCATTGCACTACTTTGTGAATAATTTTATGTAACCATAATAATAAGCCATGTATTTTTTTATTTATATCACCTCATTTTTGTTTTCTGCTGGTTTACTAGGAAGGGGAGAGTCATGCCTTTTTGTTATAATAGAGAATGAGATAGTGATTCTCATTTCTAGTTTCTGTGTGGCAAAACTCTATACTTGGATTGTTGAAGAGAAAAGTTTTAAATCAGTAGCAGATATAGGTGCTGCGCATGTGCATTTAGAGCAAATAGTTGATTTATCAGCATAAGCAGAGAGTAGTGACACTTCCAACTGCTGAAGCAACTAAGCTGCTCAATATGCTGGCCAAATGTTCTTGAAAGGATAAGTCATCCTCCTGTACAGATAATTGAGCTCATACATGGTGTGCTAGTGTTCTGTATTTATATCCATAGTCTGTCACAAAGAAATAAGTGACAATAGTCACAAACTGCAGGGGTAGTCTCTGAAAGGGGTTTGTTTTTAAGGCTTTGTGGAAGGAGATCTTTGAAAAGG